CAACGTGCTTGGTCCTTGTGCATGGCAAAAGGGGGCTGGGGAGAATGTCGTTAACGCATCATAAGGATGAACATGGGCAAGGGACGGCGAACAGGCCGTCGCTCCGACCCTCAGAATCGGATCTGCCTCGCATTTAGATCATTGCAATTATGCCAACTCGCTTCAAAGTTCGGGGTCGCAAACCACTGAGTTCTCAATGGTTTTTGTCTTACTTACTTCTGTGTCTCAGTGGCCTTACTTACCTCTGTGACATCGAACAATGCCGATGCCAGGACACCTCCCCTGCGGCCATTGGACAGCTATCTTTTCTCCGCTCATTCTCACCTTGGCCAACTGGACCAGAAGCGACGGCGAATTCGGACAAGAGCGGATGGGCCAAACACAAGTTACAAGTTCTTATGGGTGCCAAGAGGTTCGGTTGACCAGGGCCTCCGCCCAGGATTATAAAGGTTCAAACAAGTCATACAAAGAGCAATCCAGCAACCAGCTTTATGACTCAACTCGTCAAGATATCACACTTTTTGCATGACAGGGGGTTCTTTTTTCCCTTCTTCTCTTCCCTGTGATCTGCACATCCCTTCCTCTCACTTCTTGCAAGAGGCCACTTCCCCCAGGTCGCCATCTGGGATGTCAGAGTCCTCCTTGACCCAGGTCACGAAGTTTCCCGGCTGGATGGGGCCTGAGGCCGGGTCCCATGACGCCGGTTCCGCCGGTTCGCCGAACGCGGCCGAGACGTGAGTTCCAACCGGCTTGGACGTTGCTGTGGTTGGGGTGCTCTGCGTGCAAAGCCAAGCAATGCGTGTGTGCACGGAGCGTGCTCTGCTTGACCTGGTCAATGGGCTGCCGGGTCTCGTGGTCTCGACGTACCCGGGGCGTGCACGGGAAACGCTGCCAGGTGGGAGAAAAACCCTGAGTCATGCAGCCATTCACACCAGTTGCCGAGCTCTTCGAGTCGGAGCTCTCTCGCTTAGTGACCAAAGAGTCGACCTCCCCCGGCGAAGCATCGCCCAGTGGCGGCTAGCGAGCGCGTTTCCGTTCCAACGCAGGGAGTACTGAGGCTGTGCCCGGCTGTGCCCAAAAGACATTGAAGCGCTTTCTTCGACAAAAGTGCACCAAGGAGTGTCGAAAACCCAGGGGTTATAGGAAGAGACCCCTTGTCTTACTTACAAACCTTCCCAGCAAAATGCCACACTGAGTAATTAAGAACAATCATGCCTTAGACTAGATCCGCGTACTTAGTGCTAATTACAGTACTCCAAAGCATGACTGGTTCGATATGTGTATTTGGCCTGCATGTTCCGTTGTCAAAATGGCCAGCGCCATCGAGGAAGCGAGAGGCTAATCCATAAACTAACTACATACCGTCTTTGATCAAGCCCCCTGAAGCCGCGTTGATGGCAAAAGGGCATGTGGACTCTCCACAAAACATCTTCTTCACCATGCCGTAAACCCCGCAAACCAACAACATGCAACTTAGCAAACCTGCTAGCATCTCCCAAACTCATGCATTGCATAGCTATGTATAGCCTTGCATAGCTATGTGATGTGTGTGTAAGGTGTTTCTACTTGCTCAAACAACTGCATCTCATCCCCGTGCGTGAAAAACGCGCATCCAAAGGGCAACGGTGAAGCTCCTGCCATCGGAAGGGTTTGTGAGGCGCCAGCTTGGAGCGACAGCTTCAAAAGGTCGATGTGCACATTATGCTGCTACTTGGGATTGGAAGATGGACATGCATTGAGAGCTGGCGTCTCCGGAAGCCTCTTTCCTTTCTTTTCCTCGAGTTTTTTCTTCAACACCTACATGCGCAAGTAACCGAGTAGGTAACAGGCAACGATTGAAAAGACATAACCAGCTGCTCCGCCCTAGCTGTGCGTGTCGCTTCGGGTGGAAGAGACCACCTAACTTCACCAAGAACATGAAACCTGAGCAGACTTCCCCCCACAACTGGAGGTGCCAGTTGGGGGCACTAAAGCTAGCTATGCTGGAAAGCCACCCAATCCGGCCGAAGCTTCATCAGCAGTCCTCCTCTTTGAAGCTCCATGTGTCATTTGGGAATTGCACCCTCAATCTCGAGTCCTCCAACTTCAGGCCAACCACCTGCGTCCAGCAAGTTTGGGTTTCTCCCTGGTCCCTGTCCACAGCAACCCGCAACCATCCAGGAAGCTCCCTCATGCAGTTCTTCGCGATGTCCGTTTCAGCACGATTTCGTGTGATGAGGTGACCTGAAATTCAGATGGAGCTACGAGAATGGTCTTTCATGGTTTTTGAAGACCTTTGCAGCCTTTGGAGGGAGCTGATTCCTCAACTTGTTGCCAGCCATGCCTGCCCCACATGCCCTTCAGGTACGTCATCATCATTGTGATCCCATGTGACGAAATCACCTGGCACCGTGGAATGGCTTGGCGAACAAAGCTTGTGGTACAGCAACTCATCCGCGCCTCGTAGGTGTTACACACACAACACGTTGGGTGTGAGGCACCCCGCCAAATGCAAGCAGACTGTTTTTTTTAATCCATCGGGCCGGGTTTTAAGATGCTCTTGTTGTCCTTTGCCACCTCTCCCACTCCACCGAGCCACCTTTCTGGACGGAGATTGGGATCAAGCTGTGGGGCCGGAAGGCACGCTCAGCATTCGGGAATTTCACCACTGGCTGCCCATCCTCCAAGCGTTTCACCACGCCAATCTCGCCTCAAACACACCGTTTTTCTTTGGAGCTGAGCGATGCGATCAGTGGCAAGGTGACAATGAGTCCATTCTTACTCTTCATTCCCTTTTGGTGACCGGTATCAGTGCAAAGTCGGGGGATGCTCTTGCGAGCCACCCCAGCACAAGAAGGGCAAATTTCATCGAGCGGTTGCGGATGGGTGGGGCACCCTTTATTTTGCAGTGGACGTGCCAAAAAACTGCACGACCTGAAAAATGCACAACAGTACTTGATTCATTCTATTGTTTCCATCTAGAATCTAGCCCATCGGCACTACTACTTTCAAGAGAAAACCATGACAAAGAACTCCAGGAAGTTTGGATTTGAGCTGTTGCTTGCCCCGGCCTCGAGCCACCTCGTCATCGGCCTTCATCCACATCACAAAAGTCCCGAGCTGAACCGGTGCACGGACCAAGTCCCTGAGCCCTGCGAAGTACTTCTTGGAGCCAAACTTCACCTCCCAAGGAACAACTTTTGTCTGACATCTGGAATTCAGGGCCTGTGGAGGAAGGCACAGTCGATTCCTCAAGTTGGGCATCTAACTTTAGTTGCTTGGACTCGAAGTAAGTGCAGTCTGGGATTTCCAGCCAGGGTGGGAATCAATTTTGGCGATCCAAACGCTTGGCAGGTTCTTCGAAGCAACTGATTCCTCCACCCCAGGCGTTGCAGAGCCAAGATGCAGTCTACAGAACTATGGTCCTTGGCATCTCGTTTCATTTCACGCATCGAATATCCGAAGAAGTGTATAACCCAATGAAACTCAGGATGGTACGGTAAAAACCTCGGTTTCAAGGCCCTTTCCTCCCGGGGGCTGTTCCACCCGTTCGACCTCACCATGCTCATCTGCCGGACGGGCCTTCACTTGGCCCTCCTCATTGACATCCGGATAGATTCGCCCGAGCTCGGTGAAGTCGGAGCCGCTCCGGTAGACCAAGCGGTGTGGCTGGAGCTCACTGCGGATCAAATACTTCCTCAAGGAGCGAAGAAAGAAGCTGCGGGGGGCTGCAAAGGGGCCTGGATGATGGTGCAAAGGGACGATGGTGATGATGATGATGGTGATGAGGATGAGGTTTGTTCTCAGGAGCATCACATAAGCTGGACTTTGTTGGGAGGTTTGGGAACTTTTGATGCGAGGAGCTTCCACTCGACATGTCGTAGGGCCTTGTGTATCTCATGCTACTGCCATAGGGCATAGGGGCAGTCTGGGGGAGGGCTGCCTGTAAAAGGGAATCGTGAAGCTCGTATGATGATTTTCACGCCCACGGGCTCATGTGCACGCTGGCGTCACGGGCTGTGAGTGATGAACATGCTGGCTCCGTTGACTAGCCTGCGCCGAGCAATGAGCTCAAGATGCTCAAGTCTTGGGGGTCCAAAGGGTCTCAAGTCTAGGCCAGGATCGCTTGCGCGTTGAGGATCTCACCTTTGATCTCCACCTGCAAACCTTGGACCGGTGAGGCGAGTCTGCCCTTGAAAACCTGGTCGGACTGGACTGAGGTGGGAAGGAGCTGAAAGGCCCTCAGTCTTCGCCCGGGATCTGATTTTTGGATCTTGAAGGAACCCTGGACGCTCATCAACCCTGGATGTGGATGAGTGTAGTGTCAAATACGCCTTTTTCGAGACCGAACCAGGTTCGCTAGGATCGAGCGAAGGCTTGTGAGGCCGGAAAGGGTGATGAGCAATGTTGCTACAGTGGTTTCAGAGTAGATGGCACAAAACCCAAGATGTCTTTTAGATGGGGATCCATATAAACCACCAACCTTGGTGATTGTGCTATCGAACCTCTGAAACCACTGTAGTTACTAAGCACATCTTGAACTCAGATGTTCCGTGAGCGAACTGAGCACTAAGCTTGGCCTGTCTATCCGCCGAAGCAAACCGAGCTCGGCCATCCTGACACGACATGCCATCCTATGCAAGACACACAAGACTTGCGCAGTGTCTGACCTGTATATGCCAGGTTCATTACCCATTACAGTAGTATTACAGTATATAGTTGTGCCAAAGTACTACAGTACATGGACTGCTGTTGCTGCTGGTGCTGCTCATGTCTTTTCTGGCCTGGAGACCTTCTTACTACTGCCCAAAAGTATATCATCAAGAGTGCACGCACTGGTTGGATCTATGTCGACGTGCTAGAAATCACGGTCCAGCTCCCACCAACTCTGCACTGAAGACCAAGAAGCTGTCCTCCTCCAATCCCTTCACTTCTCCAATTAGCTCCGAGCTAATTCCGTCCCTGGTCATGTGGACAAAGGTGCCTCAGTGGAGACTGGGAGCGGAATTTCCAGCATCACATCACATCTTTGGAGCATCCCATGCGACTGTCGCATGCCACCTGCCACCTGTTTGTGCGGCCTGGGCGCCATTCTGCAGGTTGCACACATTCAGCTTGCGCGCTGGGATGGTGTAGCTTCCGTCCGGAAAACTCACCTTTCGGTCGTCGCCATCCACCTGAAAAGGAAAGCGGCGAAGCAAAAGGCGGTTTTTCACGCTTGAGCCCGCGGGAAGCCAAAGCCTCAGAGGGATCGTCTGAGCCTGGGGACATCAAAACCCACCGGCCTTGGTCACCTCTCCCAAATGACCACGCGGGATATCGTCATCCTGGCCCATCCAGTACACGTACTTTCCGACAGTGATGGCATCCACATCATCCAATTCCATGGCAGGAGTGCTGGCTGGGCGTCTCCTTGATCAATTCGGGGCCACTGTTGGTCAATAAATATCCGTATGAAAGTCGGTGGTTTGAAAGTCAACCAGTTTCAGTCTGAGTGCCAATGGCTGCAGATGCAACACCGTTGCCAGTTCCACTTGCCAGCCCCTCTCTGACCGACGAGGGCGGTGCCAAGCCCCAAATGGGTGTGTGTCGAAAACATAGAATAATATGGAGACAGCCAATGGGTAGACTAGATTGGTCCATTTTCTTTCTTCCACGAGGTCGTTGCCTGGAAGGTCTCTTGTGATACACCCCAGCAAAGCTCAGTCCGATTCTCTGACTTTGGGCAGTGCCAGGCTCGCGCGAGGAATCATCAAAAATGGGTTTGTGTCAAGATTCCTCCACTTCTTGTTGCTGTCGTAAAGCCGTGAACGACAGACTTTCCTGCCCCAACCTGGCTGGGAGGTGTCACCTCCACCCCGGACCCCTGCGGAATGCCTGAATTGTGGCGATGCTAACGGGGATGCCACTCCCACACGCCTTGGCGGGATGAGTAGCGTCCTTGCTCCTAGTAGCGATGCCCTTTGCTCCTAGTAGCGTCCTTGTTCCTAGTAGCGACCCTCTCCATCCCATTCAAACAAAGGGAAACGACCAGGGGGCTCGCTGTAAGATGGTCACACCGATCTTGATTCCCACAAACTAGTACACACCAGCAAGGAGCACGCTTGACAAAAGCCCTTGCTCCATCACTCTCGGAATTTCTTTACGATATCTTTTGACTACATGAATACCATTATATGATATTTTATGTAGTCATATAGTTACAGTTAGATACACTATTTCACCTGTGGCTTCAGGTTTGCTTTCATTTCTGTTCGTTGACTAAGCCACGTCCAAGGCACCCGATGAGGCTCCGCCTGACCTGATCAGCGCTTCTGGCCTTCGGCTTCGGCGCGTGCACGAGGACGAACCTTAGGACGCGGGTGAGTTCGGGCAGGTTCGGCATGGAGAGGTATGACCTAGCAAGCTAGCTTTCAGAGATATGGTTTGACTCATGGAATCCTGGAATATGAATGAGGTCATGCAGGATTTTAAGATTGAAAGGGAACAGTATCAAGTGTTCTGGGTATTCATAAACTCTGGCGCAAAAATGGGGCCAAGAACAAATCCCGTCCAGTCCAGTTGTGGCCCTCAGCACCTGCGAGGTTCTTGGTGGTACAATTATGGAACTCATCGATGCAACCACATTTTGGGTTGATTCTCAGCTGAGACTCTACCTGAAAAGAATAGGTTCTCACAGTTCCTGAGCCCGCTCATCATTTCCAATCTGCATCCGGGATTTGCATCATGAACTTTCGTCAAGAACGGTCCAGCGCACTGTCGGCAAGAGCTGAGTTGAGGGCTGTGGCTGGCCCGAGTTCAAGCTACCCGTGGCGAAGACGGGCATCATCTTCCACTCGCTACCTGGCGGCGAGATAAAGCGTGCGTGTGGGCGGGTTGGCGTGGATGGTGAGTTGAGGGATGGGGGCAGAACATAGGACAGGCCCCATGGTATTGTCACATTTGTGGCAGATGCGCTGTGGCGACGACATGGGTTGGGTTCCTTTTTCGGGTGTGCGTTGCTTGAAGCCTCAGACTCGGACGCATGAGTCATTGATGAGTTTGCATGGATATGTTAGATGATGTTGGCCATCGGCCCAAAATGATCTGAAGCACCGCCATGGCAAAAACACACGAACCCATGGAGATTAGGGACAGCAAAAGTTGGCAGGAATTCCTGGTGTTGGGGAGTCCTCTTGCCTAATCAACCTAAGGATCCATGTGGCCGGTGTTCGATCTTCAACACTGGATGCGTCCTGGGACTCCTTGCCTCTTGGCCGGACACCCGGAGAGTCAGGGCTTTCGCCTGGAGAGGGCGGTCCAGGGGGCAAAGGATTTGGGGTGCCAGCGGCAGGAGACCGGTCCATAGGTTTTGGGATGGTTACTGCTTCTGGTGTTGATCGGTTGGCTGCTCATGGCTGCTCCATCCGCTCATGGCTGAGCCCCAGGTGAGGGATCCAGAAATGAAAACCAAACCAGTGGGTTCTGCTGTCGATCTTTGGCTAAAACAGGCAAAGCGTCCCACATCATTTGGCTCAAGTGGGCACCTGGCCCAACGACTACCGACATCTGTATAGTTCCTGACGGTCTTGGATTCTGTGCCAGATCCTGGTCACAACTGTGGAATTGTCTCATAGTTTGCTCCAAAACAACGGGTGCCATCTTTGTGGTATGCACGCTTTCCAGGTTACCGGTGTCACACCCTTTCCAGCACATCCGTCGATCAACCTTTCTGAATCTAACGTGTGCGAGCTTACCTCGGCCGCTTCTGTATCGCCCTGCCTGGTGATTCTGGGCTGGCAAAGGATGGGCTTGGCAGCTGGTCCTGTCAGCAAGCCATTGGGTCACCAACCTTTATCTGACGTGTTCCTTTCTGGTGGCTGGTGGGGGGAGGGGGGTCCAAGGCGAGAAAATGCATCTGACTGTAGGACTTCAGGCAACGGAAGAGCTAGCCGCTAGCAACAACAACTCAGGCTCTTTGACCTTTGGGCCTTCTATGCGTCGATCACCCAACCCCACAACCTATGAAGCATGTACTAAAACAAAAGCTCATCAACTTCTACACAAGAAGTTTCTATACGATTCTTTACGTAGACGTACACCTAGGTTCATCCTCTACCTCCGATTGCAAGCTTCTGCTGTTCCAGCTTCTCACATCCAGCGTTTCGTTTCAATCGACTGGTCTGTTGCCGTGCTCTTGGACCCCTTGGATCTACGATCAATTCTCCAGGAGCCCCTGCTGGCATGGTCGCCTCTGCCCTGAGAAGGACGTGAGTTTCTTCACGGCCGAAAACCGCCCGTCCGAGCGGATCTCGCACTGGCTGGGCCGAACTTCGGTATTGCGGTCCTGTAATCCACTCTGAATAGGACCATGAATGCACGACTTGCCCAGCTTTATCCCATGGATATAGCTGGCCCCAAGTCAAAAACCAAGCTGTCAACTGGCACGATCAGGTAAGAAGCAACAACAAATGAAAGCAAGAAAACACCAGGTAACATGCGACCGGCATCTATAGTCACTCTGTGATCTCTATGCTTTGATCATCAACTCGACAACAAACACGAACTGGGACCCAGGCTTGAGCTGTCGCTTGAGCTGTCTGGATCCCCAGCGGTAGCAGCCCAAGCCTGGCACAAGGTGGTCTAGGTCAGGGCCGCCACGTCAGGGCCGCTAGGATCAGCGATGCTTGCCCTTGCAGGAGCACGCATTTTACTTGCATGAAAACACATAACATTACTGTTGACTTAAATGTCTAAAAACACGAGACACACACACATAAACGCGCGTGCGGGGTGATGTCAATTGTGCAGGGTGATGTCCAGTCGACCCATGAAGAATCTCTTCTGTGAGCATGGGCTAGGGTAGGCGTTTGAAGGAGTCATCCAATTTCTTCCCGACCCCCCCACCGACCCCCACCGTCCCCTTTTGTTTCGTGGCACCTATAAGGATGGTGACCAGGCCCAGAACGTCTTGGAGGTGAAAGGCCACGGCCTCTGGGCCTTAGCAGCCCGAGTCGGTCAGGCAGGTGTTGGGACGGCTCAGTGCTGGAATTCGGACGGCTCAGGTCAAAGAGGCCCCAGTTGCTGCAATGGAGTGATCACCAGAGTGGTGTCTTGGATTCTGGGGGATGCCAAAGCCAAGGCGTTGACCTCCCAGCTCCAAAGGCCTCCAACTTTCCCGAGATCCGAGATCTTGGATCAAAGGCTCCACCTTGATGATTTGCTCGAGGATCCGGAACAAAATATATCTAAACAAAACCCAAGTAAACCACAATTCCTCACTGTTCATCCCGAGCTTCGAAGCTTTTTCCAGTGGCCCGGCAAAACCCGAGCTTTGATGCTCTGACATGAAGTTCTGGAAGATTCCCACGTCAATGGCCAGCTTTCCGGCAGAACGATGTAACACATGCCTGAACTTACTAAAGCAAAACCATAGCGTGGATCAAGCAATACTCTTGAAGAAACACATGTGGATGTGTCTGTGTCAATCTTGAACGCCAAAATCAATGCCCGTTGGCCGTTGGCCCAGGTTCGCCGAGGTGGTTTTGGTGGTGTCTGCCTGGCCATGCCTGCTCGATTCTTCTGGCCCCCTCATCAGCCCAGCGTCCCATGATCAATGTGGAGCTGAAGGCCTGCGAGTGGGAAGAAAACTGGAGCCCCCCAGCAAGTTACATAGTAGCTTAACATTCGGACACCTAGTCTGTACCTACAAGCGGTCCCCAATACCTGTGGTAACTGTTGTATAATCACTTGTCACCAGTCGATCGTCTGTGAGTTTGTTCCTTTTGTTCAACTGAGTTCTCACTTTGGTCACGTCCGCTACTGAAGAGGTCTACAGCCCGATAAGCATTCAAAGGCTCCTGCACGAATACTTTGTGGACAAATTGTGATTCTGCAGGTTGCACAATCACCGATCTTTGTTGGAGGAAATTTGGAAGGGATCGCCTCGGTCTTAGGTTCATACAAAGCCGCCTCCAACAACCAAATGAAGTTCAATTTCCATGATTGCTTGCACTAGGGTGTTCAAGACTTTGATCTAGAACGCACAAGCCTAGGCCCATGGTTCAAACATGTTCAAACCATATTCAAAGTTCAAACCCATGTATCTCGAAACCCGACACACACACAAGACTTCAGTCCACCAGCGTGGCCCATGCCGCATAACACACACGATATATCACCATTTGAAGATGCTTTTCACCTCGGCTCTCCAAACCACCGGGCGTTTTTCCTGCTTTCCTCGGCCGCCTCGCGCGCCGGCGCGCGAGCCGGTCGACGGCCGTGGCCGCGCACCAGTGCGGACAAAGGCATCCGCATCGTGGAGACGAGGAAGGACCTGGTCCGGGCCCCGCCAGGGACGCGGAGTGGAGCGATGACGGAGGTCCAACCCGAGGCTTCGGGCAATGCG